ATTTTAAAAAAAAAAAATAATAAAATTTGGGATTAGTGACCTTACTATTTAATTTACAAATTTGAAATGTAAAAGTTGAGATCAAAGTGAAAATCAAATACGACATATTTAAATGGAATCTTGAGATTTATATTAAGACTCACTACAAAAGGTAAATCCAAGATGGAAAATTCAGTTTTTAGTGAGATATGTTCATCATCTCTTAGCCTATGGTTGGTAAGTCTAAAATCATGAGCACATACACATTGATTCTTGAAAATAAAATGAAAACTATCCAAAACAAAATTTCCATATTTCTAGATAAGGTGCTGATAGGTTGATGAATAACAGACAATGGACAAGAACATGAAATTTCAATTCCAAGATCAATTTTTTCATGTAAAACACAAATCTAGTAGATTTTTCAACTACAAGCTTTTTCTTTCCCAACCTAAAGTAAAAAATCCAAAATTTCCACTCACAAATATGACAACATGTCGTGCATTGATGGACTAGAGTGCTGCAATCCAGATCAGCACAATGGGTAGCATCTTCAACTCAATCAAAATGACCAATTTTTAATCTAGATGATCCATTTTAATCACCTGATCACAATCACCTTTGAAGGTTTTGGTGGCCACACCTGGAGGAGTTCGTCATGAGCAACTAGATGAGTCCATCATCGAGATCAACTGGTTGAGAATCGAGCACCATGAGATGAGAATTTGAGAATCTCAGATCGTGAGATGAGATTGAGCTTTGCTTATAAGGGAGGAGTGACCGAGAATCTAAGATCAGAGATGAGGGGCGAGGGCATCATGAGTCCCCTTATCCAGATTGAGAGATCGAGATCTAAAAGGGAGTAAGGTGGAGAGACTGAGATGAAGAGGACAAGCAGTAGAGAGGTAGAGTCTGCAAAGTTGAGTATGACAGTGTGTAGCTTCCTTAGGGTTTCTTTTCTTCCTGAAGCTAAAACTATGCATTTTGAAATGGGGAGGCAAAAAAAAGAGGAAACTGGGCTTGGAAGGCCGCTCGAACCTAAGCCGGTTTTTTCAAGACTTATTAAGGCCAGGCTTTAAAGCCTGATTTTCCAACAAAAAAAAATAGCCAATTTTTTAAACTTGAACTCTTATAAAAATGGGTTTAAATGAACAGCCCTTATTCTCGATTTTAGATGTTTGTTAGCTCCATACTCCCAAATAGCATCCAGGTCATGCTCAAGCAAAACTCTCGTGTTTCTTTTCATTTTCTCCCTTCTTACTTTTTAATTTTCAAACTAATTATTGCTTACATTACATGTACCGTGGCATGCAATATAGAAAGCATCTTTTGTGTTGTGATCCAGGAGCCATGGTAGACATTGCATGCACCATGGCACATGATACAGAGACACATCTGAGTTTTCTTCCTCTTTCAGGGCCCAGGTGGCTCAACTTTACTCTGAACTTAATCTACAGGCTGTAACGACAACGCAATCAGCCTATTAATACTCTCTAACCATGCACACACCCACACATACTTACACTTGCTTATCTACCTTTTATTAGTTTAAGTAAATAAGGGGTTGATTTTTTGGATGTTATAGAGATGATAATCAAGGAAAAATTATTTGACAAGCTAAGAATTATATTTTCTGTAAATATTATTATGTATACGCATGCATAACTAATACTCTCTCTGTTAAAAAATGTAAAGCATTTTTTGAGGAGTTGGATATTAAAAAATGTAAGGCATTTTTAATCTTTCAAGGTGTAATCATTGTCATTTTTTAAAAAAAAATGCCCTTATGAATAAATAATTTTATATTTATTATAGAGTGTTTAATAAGGATAAATATAAAAAAATAAAATTAATTTAAAAATAAATAATTATTTTATTGAAGTGTAAAATTTAATTAAAAATATTTTATATTTTAAATGAAGGAGTAATTAATTAATTATTGGTGTGATGTGAGTATCCGTTTGATGGAGAGGGCAACCAAATGGGTGCATCGTCAACCTCAATTATTGGGACATCAAATCCAACTTTTAGGAGTGCGCCCACCATACGTCCATTCCCTTGTTTTCCACGCGGTCCCCCTCTCCCTCTTTCTCATCTGTAACCAAACTCGCACTAATCATTTTCATTCACCTCATCATTTTTATTAAAACCAGTATATTTTACTTCGATTTTTAGGTTGTTCCTTGTAACTTGCAAGATTGTTGAGCTTGATCTCTCTGGATTATATATAAATGCTGATGAATGTTGAATAGGGTGGTCCATGGATACGTGGTACCGATAAAACGTACATGGACAAGCTTGCGGGTATCGTTTCATAATATATAAGAGAGAGGGAAGGATAGATACATCAAGGTGCACATCACATCTTATCACAAACACGTATGCAAGTCACCAAAGACTTATTAGCCTATTGACACCAATACATCTTTAAATAAATAGATGACGAGGTTACAATTTTAATCCAGAAACATAATAATAACATTTAAATAAATGGATTTAAATTCTCTAAAATTGTGATCAGTGAATTTATGTGAAGTTTTACTTGTCAGTAAAGAGAGGAAATAGAATATTTTAAAAAATAATAAAATTAAAAAATATTAAAAAGGGAAAACTTCATAATATGTAAATTTATAATTTCAACTTTAGGATATTTAAATTCTACGTAAATAGTGCAAACTAAGGTTTTAAAAAATAAACTAGTCATTGAATCAGATTAGCCATTAGTTCATGGTTTATTGGTTCAACTAAGGTCAAATTGTGGCTGAATTGATTGACATTAAATTAATATATTTTTAATTTACGTATTATAATTAAATAAGAAATACATGCAAATATTTATATTTTCAAAAAATATTAATAGAATGTTTGGTAAAATGATATATTGTTAATGAATACATGATTAATATTAATTATTTTTGGCTATTCTTTCTTTTAATTTATTTTTGAAATTATTTTTTAATTTTAATTAATTCAAACTAGTTTGTAAGGGAACTAGTTCAATTTTCAATCAGTTTTTTCGATCATTGACCAGTTCTATTATGGGTGATTTTGAGAAGTCAATCGAATCGGATCAAGAGCTAGTTCTCGATTTAATTGATTGAACTGGCCAGTTTGGTTCGATATTTAAAATGCTAATGCAAACAGCATGTTACCATTTTAGAATATTCACCATTCTACTAGGAATATATATATATATATATATAGGGTTCTTTAATTTCATCATATTGAATTTGTTATATTTTTATTCTCTTGAAAGAGAGTCTTATTAAGTAATGAAGTAACATCTAGTTAAAATATATAGGGCAAGAGTTTAGGTATTTTACCTTATATACTTATTACCCAATCAAATCAAAATAGATAGTTTTATGCGGTATAATTTTAATCATCTAACTTTATATAAAATTTTAATTTAATTTTATAAAAAAATTTAATCTTAATATGGTTAGTTTCAAATCATTCTTTTATATGTCAATTATTGTTATTTTTAAAAAATAAACTTAATATATTAAAACCTGAAAATGTTTTTTTTAATATTTAAAAATTTAATGTATAAATTTATTATTGATAAAATTAATGGTATTATATTTAAAATATTTAAAAAATATTTTATAAAATTAAAGGACTAAAATATATAACAGCAAGGATATAGATTTTTTTTTCTAAAAATGATTCTACCCCCTAAGACAGAAGATTGGTATCAAGCTTGACGCTGGACTTGAATTTGGGCTAGGAGGACAAGCCCGGAAAAATGGAGAATGTAGTTAGACCGGGTTCGGTGTGGAAAACAGCCTAACAGGTCCGAGCTCAAATACGGATTCTGAATTAGACGTGCACGCGTGCAGGCAAAGGTTCATTGCGAAAACCCAAAGTTAGCTCAAATTTTATTTTTTTGTTTTTTCTGTTTGATTCAAGTGCCCGCATATCCTCTCGTGTGATAATATTACCACATTTCAAAGTATAAAATATTTTTAAAAGAAATTTATCAACTTAAAATATAAGAAATTTTAATAAAATAAGGTGTTAGTAATAATACTTTTTCAATATTACATTTTTCATTATATTCTCCTTTTAATATTTTTTTATAAATAGAATATTATATGGAGGATATATTTAAAAGTTTATATCTTTTTTAAAAAATAAAGTTATAAAGAATATTTAATAATTTTCATTAGCATGTGTGATTTTGTTTAAAAGCGGTTGGGAGTGCTAATTAGTGCTAATTAGCTATTAAAGATGCTAATCATGTTACATGTGGTTGTTGGTTGCCACTCTTAGGTTGAACAGTCATTTCACGTATAGCTCGCGATCACTCATTTTTGTCGTTAATTAATAATCCTAGCAATGGTAATTAGTTTCATACACATCAACAACTGGCAATTAATTAATAACGATTACTGATATGCATGATTTGACGACAAGTAATTATCACTAACGTGAATGATACACTTGATTTCGCAACATGAACAGTGGAAACCAGCTCTAAATCATGACAATACGAAAGCATACATGTTACATTTGCATACACACGTGGGCGCGCGCGCACAATAATGTTGTTAGCCCGGCATCACACAATTAGCTATTAGATGAAGCGCTGAAATTCACCCCATGCTTGTTGGCGGTAATTATAGGTACATTTTAATTAACGACATAAATGTAATTATTGACGGGACAAAATTTTATGAATGAATAATTTGATTTGCAGCATGTCATATATAATTCGATTTTTTTCAACCAGAGTCCAAAATCCAAATTATAGCAGTGGCTATCTAGTTCCGTCACCAGGCAAAACACTTGCTCGGCCACAAACACACTATTATCTCTTAAAAAGAAGACTGATATTTTCTTAATTTCACTATTTGTTAATGGATGGCCAGGCAATATTAGAGATGCGATACTCCTACATCGTGTGATTAGAGCATCTAATAGGCAATGCCATAGTTTGGTCCTTCTCCACTAAACAAAATATACCGAGTCAATATCTGAGAGTTATTTATATTCAACATAGCAGCAAGCGCAAAGCGTAAAGAAATAAAGGGTATTAATTATTAATTAATCTGTATATGATTCAAACGGTAAGAAACTGGAGTGGGACTCAATTTACATGGCCTAATTAAGCTAAAGATTACGAAGGAATAAGAGACTGTCTCTAAAGGGTTTGTCCCCATACATATATAGCAGCAAGCAGATTCTGGTATACCTACTACTTGGCCTGAGTATGGATAGATCTCCGTAGTCGCGCGTCGAGCATCCATACATCCCTGAAGTTTGCTTATTTTGGATAGACATCTTTATTATTTCTAAAAGAGGAAACTCTTGGCTTTGGTTCCAAAAAATGGAAACTTCAGGGAAACATATGAATTTGCACTCGAGAGGATCCACATGCAAGCGTGGGTGATCAAGATTTTCATGCATGTACTGTGAGGTAATTAAAAAAGAAGGCTGGACGAGATAATTAAGTTGAAGGATCTAAAAGGGAGTGTATATTTGCATCTGACTCAAAATGTGTTCGAAGTTGTCGGTAGTCTTCTCGATGGGATGGTTGTGCTCTCCCTCGTACGTGGTCACCACTACGCCCTCGTCTTTCGTTAGCCGTTGCACTTGTTTCTTCACATTGCATCCTTGATGCGTACACCTGTAGTAGCTCCTGCATTTTTAATTTATTCATCAGACCAAACACCACCCAACCTTCATTAATTAATTTCATCACACTCATGAAATAAAAACATCCACTTCAAACAATTGATACATGCGTGTGCCCATGGAGTCAGATTAAATTAAAGACCACAATTGAGACAATATAGTAGTTCGGAATTCAGTTTCTAATGTACAGTTGATTTTCAGAAAAATATCCAAAGCAACAAAAGCAAATATTTATCTTTTGTGTGTGTGTATGTGCGTGCGTGCGTGTGTAAGCTTGCTTATTAGCTTCTTATCATTTTTGTCTTGCTGTTGTGGCCGTGCATAGAGGGCATCAAACTGATGGAAAAACCCTAGCTACAGCCAGGAGAACAGAATATAATGCAGATTTAATTTGTTGATCATCAGTTTCATCATTTGAAGCTATCATTTCCTCATAAGGTCGCATTAATTTTCACGTATTTCTGTTAGCTACATATATATAGATATATATACACACATATATCCCTTCCGTGTCCCCATTGAGAAAAAAATAGTAACAGCGAACGACTAGAATCTCTGGAATAGAGATTATAACGCACGATCAATTCATCAAGGAATATCAGAACTGTGGTGGGGCACATGTATATTCCTAGGTAAAGTTGATGCATATAAAGTCAAAGTATGTAGGCGTCATAAATTTGAACACGGGATCTCGCCTGGAAATGTGAAGAGAATGGATAGAGAAGGAACAAACCTGGGGAATTTGTTGTTTTTGACAGCTTTCTGGCCATATTTTCTCCACCGATAGCCATCATCGAGTATATCCACCTGACTCCTTGTTTGGAAAGCATACCTGGGCTTCCTCACTTTCTTCTCTCCCTTCTTCTTCCCGGAACCACCCCGATCGTCCCTGCTCCTCAACACGCTTTCATCTCCTCTCAGTGTCTGCAACTTTTCGTGATCATCACTCTCCGCGGGCCTCAATCCCAGGAACCCACTCGAGTTAATCTGAGCCTCCAAGTTAATATTATTGCTCAGACCAAGAAGCTGATGAGAGCTTCCCATGGCACTCCCGGACGCAGAATAACTCGAAGGATTAGGACAAGGAAATAAGACGGGGTAGTTCTCCATAGCTGAAAGAGAGAACAGGGAAGGAGGAAGAGGAAGAAACTAAATGGTGAAAAGCAGAAGAGACGTGTATAAATAATGGGTGGGGGCGGCGGTTTCTTGGAGTGGCTCGTGAAGATCGGGGGAAAAGGAAAGATAACAAGAGTCCAAAAGGGAATGTAGAGTTATATAAATGAATCAATAAATAAACATATAGGACCAGTGGCGATATTTGATTGATAGTTTCGTAAACGGCACGTAAGCTATGGAAAGAGAGTGTTGGGAAAAATGAGGTTCACTAATTAACGGCAGCTGGAAGGGTGGAAACGTGAGGCGGCTTCATGATTAGGATAGAGACATTAGTGTGTGCATTTCAGAATAAATAGGGAGATTGATTTGAAACGTGATTTTTGAATTTTGAATCATGCAGAAACAGAGGAATGACTAATATCCATCGATGTGATGCGTATCTAGATGTATAGTGCATTGATTTTTGGGTTAATTCAACACGGGAGCAATAGTAGCTGGTCAGTGGTCATCGTTTTTGTGAAGATCGTGGGGTTCCGGTCCTGGGATGAAGCTGTGCGCAAAATAATAAAATTAATTACTTCAGATTACGCATGTGTGTATACACTTCTTTCATTTAAAAATATAAAATATTTTTTAAAAAATTAAATATTAAAATATTTTTAATCATTTGAGGTATAATTATTGTCTTTTTTTTTAAAATACTCCTATTGATAATAACTTTATCTTTATTATAAGGTGTTTAATAAAAATAAATATAAAAGGATAGAATTAATTAAAAAATAAGTAAATATTTTATTAAGGATGAAATTCAATTAGAAATGATTTATATCTTTAATATATATCAAAGAAATTTTACACCTTATGGATAGATCGTAAATGATCATGAGCTTCATGTTTGATTGATGGACAAATAATGACGCTTTTTATCATGTGTTCAAAAATATTCAAAAATTAAAAATACTGGTTGAACCCATTTTGCCAAGTTCATTAGATTTAAAACCCACGAGGCAGAGTTTGATTATGGTCAACCGCTCAATCGTGGGGTTGTTTTTGTTGGTGATAAGTGCGTGGGAGGAGAGAAGACTTGTAAGCCCAGAGCAGTTTCGTAGCACGTCGTCACGCTTTACACGTGGACACTCCATGCATGTCCCTTGCCCAGCACTTTGTCTGCAAAAATTTACTACAACAGCTCTTGAATTCAATTCAACCTTCTTCTAGAATACGCGAACGCCGAAAATATGCTAACAGTCTTCAGAGCTTGAAGATTGTCTAATATTTTTGTGGTTTTAATATTAAACCCAAGTAAATCAAAAGCGCCATCAAAATTAACATCACGGTGCAAGTGACGAATAAAAACATTTTTTAACAGAAAATCATACTCATTCTTTGCCATTGCGATAGTATCAACGTTTTTTATTAACTCGACTTAATTAAGTTACATTAAAGCTTTCGACCAAAAAAAAAACAGAGAGATTTGCTGTATTAATACATAATCATGGATGTATAATTTAAATATAAATTGTGTTAATTTGAATGAGGGCGGGCTGGGTTGGGTAGGTGCGACTGCAAGGAAGTGTTGATTATATTGGCGCATGTCTGCGCATCCACTGCAGCTTCCCTGAAATAGCTGGTGGCGGCTGAACGATTGTGCTGCGGACAAAATAGTAAGTTCTTAAACTCCTGAAAAATTTAGGAATTTGACGGGATCTTTCAGTACAGAACGTTGAATACATGTGTGTGTGTGTGGAATAAAATTTATTAAAAAATCACAGCATAATTTATAGACCAGGTATTAGTAGCTTTTATTTTTTTTAAATATCATATAATACTAAAAAAAGTGTCTGATCTTTTCTAGTGCGAGTGTTTTCTAAAAACTTATTTTGCCCTTAAATATAGAAGAGGGGTCCTACTATTTTTAAGTAATTAAATAATTTCGTTCTTATTTTAAAAAATGAAAGGTGTTAATTGTGTGTTTTGCCCATTACAATACTAGTTATGACATTAGTAGTGACAAAATTAAAAAATTACTGTCCTTTTAAATAGAACATAGTAGTTTCTCTCTTTTAAAGACTCCTATTTTTTCCTTCTCTTTGAGTTCAATCGGTCTGTATCCCTTTGTCCCCCCCCCCCACTGGAGAGGCTTCATCAATTGTATGCCACATTAATTAATAATAAGTAGATATGAATATTCTTCCTGTCGAATCTCATGAACTTCCTGTATTTGAAAAATTAATATCACATAATGTAGCAATGATTAAATTTTTAATAAGAGGTATCATTCAAAAAGGCACGCACCCGCAAGCTGCCGACTAGATTAATACGAGCAAAGACATGAGAAATTGGTCTGTGTGTGTGTGTTACATACTGCATGAATCATGATGACCATCTCGCGATGATGCCCGTCTTCGATATATCTTAATTAATTCTTGCCGAGATAAATCATTCAAAAGGACACGATTGACAGCAGATAGGAAATTGTCTGCAAAACAAAATGATATATTTATTTCTCTGCGTTACCTACGAGACAACGAATACAAATACATGCAACACGTCCGTATGAACATACACATAGAATCGGGAATAAAGATCGAGCCTGAAGAGCTATCAATTTAATTTTATTTTTATAAGGATTTGGGTTTACAAAAAATGATATTTTTAAAAAAAAATTGAGTTTTCAAGCCTAGCCTTGATAGGCCTAAAAAAAGGGCTCAAGCAGCCCTTTTAAGTTCATTTTTATTTTTTTCTTAAAAAATAAAATATTTTTAATTTTAAAATTAAATTTAAACTTTAGAATATATGTTTATATTTTAAAATTAGAATTTTTCTTATTTAATTTTAATTTTTAAATATTATAATTTACATTTTTAAAAAATATATGAAATATTATAATTAAAAATTTTAATTTTAAAAATTTTTAAAAAATAAACAAATAATAATAAAGGTTTATAGACCTGACCCTGAACCCTTTACATAAGGGCTGGGTTTCCAAAAATGAGGCATTTTAAAGAAATCGAGCCCAACGGCCCAAGGCCTTAAGGGTTAGGCCTATAAGAGCCGAGCCCATATGGATTAAGCCCATCCATTTTCCAACTCTACATGTACACATGAAATTAAAAAAGAGTATTATCATGTCATTTGTACGTAATTTCAGACAAGCTCATGTATTGCAATTCCTCAATATGGAATCTAGCTCGCTTGAAAATATTTAAAAAAAAAAAAAACTGGTAAAGAATGAAAGAAACTGGTTATTGATGAATCGGCACTTCGAGATCTTGAATATAATAAACTGCTCTTGAATTATAAACTAGCTCTTCATAATTGTCGGTGACCTGCATATTCTGTCGTTCAGAGCAGAAAAGCCATGCATATATAATCAACTGGTCAAGTAAATTGCAAAAGACTAAAAAAGGAAGAAGAAGAAGAAATCTTCAATTTCTCTTTCACTTGAAAATTGAAATATTTAGTTTTCTACTCATATACCCAGCACTGATTAATTTATAGCACAGTACTATATATATAGTTCCGTGTATATATATGCATTGCTAATTAAGTTAGATCTAGTTTTCTTGGTTTTGTTGATGAGGAGGGAAGGGGATGCCAAACTCAGAAATCAAAGACAAAGTCAATGTAGGGAGTTTCAAGTTCAAACGCAAACAACTGATGATAGAGTTAAGGAGGCTAAAAGAATATCACACACACGCACATATTACGAGCACGAGAGAGTTTGGTCGCAGCTTCTTTTCTCCGTCCTAGTTATGACAATTGTGAAAGCAATTTATCAATTAAGCGTTGAGAGGGGCAGATTATTCAAACTCGTTTTGAAGCGTCAGACGACCATGTGCCACATACATACATACATATATATATATAGATTTTAATATTCAAACACATACTATTTTTGGTTGGAATATTTACACACAAACATTGTTTTTGCTTTGTAGCTAGGCGACGCATTATCCACGAGCCCTTTGATAATTTGATTCCTGACTTTCCGTCATCGTTTTCAAACATCACAATCAGTTTCGGCCAATTTGTCACCGATCTTGCTTCAGAGTACACAGAATTCCTACACTCTGTGCGCTGGTCCACCTTCTAAGTTCTCTTGTGCCACCATCATGGGCGCGGAATATCTGCACGCCCTCTTTCAACTTCAACACTACTTTTCTTTTTCATTGAATTAATTTAATTTCTTCATTCTTGGTCGACCACACAACACTTTGAAGGTATTTCACATTTTGATTTCTTTTTCTTTCCTTCCAAATCACAATTGACCGTGATTTAGATTTGAGGCCATGCTACTTTTCAATGTATCGTGAAGGAGAAACAAAAACAAAAAAACATGAGCCTGTTTGGTTATTGTTTTCTTTTTTGTTTTCAGAATTGTTTTTGAAAACAAAACAAAAATAAAAAACATGTTTGATTATATAAATGTAAAAATAATTAAAAAATTAAAAAATATATTAATTATAATAGTTGCAAGCGGTTGATGATTATAGTTTATAATAGAAATAGGTTAAGCAAATTATATTTTTCAATAATCAAATATAGTATATTTTGAAAATAAGAAAGATATAATAAAAATAATTTTAAGATATTTCAATTTTTTAAATGATAATAGTTTTAAAAATAGTTAAATAAAAAATAGCTATCCAAACAAGTTTTTCAATTTTTTTAAAAAGGAAGAAGCAGTTTTTAAAAGTAGAAATCAATCAAGCCCTGTACGTCCATTTTCCTATGCTGTTTCTGTGTATTTGTGTTTTGGAGAAACATTTAAATAGATCGAATATATTACGTGATTTGTAGTCTGTTTAATTAATATATTTTAAATAATTTAAATAAAATTTTATGTAATTTTTTTAATTGATTTTATTCTTATAACAAAATGTAAATTTAATTTTTTAAAATTTTCTCTTTCTACTGTTATTAATATAAAAATTAATTTCTATTTAATATCATTAAAATATAATATCATATTTTTATTAAATAGATTATAAAAAACGTGATACACTCCATTTATTTAAGAATTTTCCTGTGTTTTGATGAATTGGAATTTGCCAGTGGTAGATGAGCTTCTTGCAATTGGCTTGTAACATATATATTTGTGAAGTAACGAAAATAGTTGGGTGCATGAATCGACGCGTCTCTATCCAATTGCACACGCGTGGCGTCTTTGACTAATATTAATTCATACATCGCTGTCCATGTGCTATACCCGTGTGGATGTGTCTCGGAAACTCTCGAAACCAATCGGTTTTACTCCAACCAAACCAGCCCAAAAAAGTATACATGTATGTATGTATGTATGTATGCACACATATTTCTCGTATATAGGTTTAATGAGCAATATATACACCACGAAATCCTAACAGTCCCATATATCCACATGCAAAATCTCTGGAAACTGATGCGGGCATCATTTTACCATAGTTATTACTTGTATGAAGGGAGAGAGGTAAAGAGGGCAAATTAATTCCGCCTATTAATTACTCGTATCATATTTATAATTTATTCTCAACATAATTTATTAGAATTTAAAAAATATTAAAATTCATTAACTATATCTAAAAATTCAATAAAAATATAATTTTATTTTTATTAAATATGTATATTTTAATAATGTGCTACTCTCTTTCACCAACATTCAAATGATGGTAAATAAAAAAATTTATAATAAAAAGTTTAGCGATATAACTCATAATTAAAATAAAGAATATCCTCTCTCTCTATTTTATAAATAAAACCGAACGACTTCAACGTTTTATACTAGCAATAATAATTAATTATGTATGTAAGAATAACGCATATATATACGAATACGAAAATTTATCCAAAAAATAAAACTATGCTATTTGAAGTCAGCAACAAAAACATTAAAAATAAACTGAAATGGCAGGAATAATTACCGGTTTTGATTGGTTTTTTACCGGGCGGTACCCGTTTTCATAGTATCAGTGGAATGAAAAATAAAACTAACTAACTGAAAAATATCCCTCACAAGTCACAATAATGGAAAATTTACGCCATCACAGAGAAAGAGAGGTGTTCACCAAGAAGGTCGAAGGAGAAGAGGTGTGCACTCACAAGGATAGAAAAGTAGATCTTCGAGATATAAAACTCCGTAACCAAACTTGTCAGATTAATTGATGAAATATTTGGCACTGTGTCAATATTCAGAGATTAGGCGAAAATCCACAGATTCAATATATTAATCATACGCATGAACTATTTTGATGTAAGACGATCTGCCTATCTTGGTTAACACCAGGATCAGGGTCAATAATTCTGACTCGTGCTGGCGGCCGGGATCTCAAACATCGGAAACAGCGCCTCAATCCTTGGCGGTCAGTTATCAGAAAACTTATTAAAGCAGATCTTGACACTGAATGATCACCGATTCAGCGACTTAATCATGGCCATTTGATCAGCGATTACCATGCAATAATGCTTTTTTAAAATGATCGTTACTAATCTTTTTGAGTTGAATATGCTTGGATATCCCCAGATCAGAAATATAATTACACATGGAATGAGCAGGAAGAAGGTTTATCTTTTAATCCTCAAAATGCATTCTGTTTGCAAATTTTTTATTTTTCCCCCAAAAACACGTTTCGATTACTTATAATTGAAGCTACTGACTTAATAATATTCTGTTCGGATTGGAAAAGGAAAAAAAAAAAAGATGGTACGGACAATGTGACGTGGTTTTGTTGACTTTGAAAATCAGACAGGCACGTAATTCTCGATAACATTGACCGTGGATGTAGAAGTTTGATTTCAATGAAATGCAACTAAGCATAATTTGTATGGGAGCGCCGGGCGCTATTGGGTGCTGGGTTTATTAATCATGTTTAACGAATATTCCCATGCGTCGTAATATTATTTATTTTTCTTTGAAGGACGGAGAGAGGGATTTTAGGAGGAGGTCCGAAGTTTTGAATGTGCGCGCGTGGAGCGACCACGCATGGAGATGTTCAAGACTTAGTGCAATGCACATGGGAGCGGTGAGGCGCGTGGGATGTGATCGCAGGTCGTCATGGCTGTCGTCACCCTCCTTTCTCATCGCATACCATCCCCACTCCCCATCTCCCGTGCTATTCATTTATTTATTCCCCTCCCTGCTTCGCCCATGGGAGCACATCCTGTGCTCATCACCCACCCCCGAGTCAATTTGGATTGTCCAGGTTTCGGTTTAGATTTAACTTTTTTTATTTTTAAAAATAAAAATTTATTAAATTTTAAATAAATATATTTTATTATTAACATGTGTCATTTATATTTAATTAGATCAGTCTAAATTTAATATTAATTTTTTATAATTTTTATAAATTAACAGTGCAGATTTACTTTGAATTATTTTGAATCTGATAGTATAATAAATTAAAAATTTTAAATTTAAACAGTACAGATTAATTTGGACTCATTTGATTAAATATGAATGACACATGTTAATAATAAATACATTTATTTAAAATTATATAAATGTTTGTTTTAAAAATTAAAAAATAATTTAATCTAAACGGTTTAGATTAAATCTAAATAGTCATCACCCCTAATAAGCACCAAATATGCTCCACTTCACCCATACTCCCTCTGTTTTTATTTGTAACAAAATTTATTATTTTTAATTTATTTTTATATATAAGTAAAATCATTTTTTTAATAGGTATTTATTATATTTTTTAAATTATCTCTCATAATTTTATCATTCATAGTCATAAAAAATAATTAATAAAGGCTTGATCAACACAATTACTAAAGGGTATTGTAGTCTAAATATTTTATTTTTATACACAATTAATATAATTAATTAATTTTTTTTAAATTTTGTGATATAATTTTTTTCTCTTAAAAATAAAAATGGAGAGGCATTATGCAACATGAATTTGTTAAATTGGGTCAGGCCTTATACAAATATACCTATAAACAAATATATAAACACCAAACAGAAAGCGAGAGGGAGCGCGATATAATCATTAATCATTTGGATCTTGAAATCAGGCACGAGTGGCAAGCCCAACACGTGGTGCCCAACACCCAGATAATGTATTTGATTTTGATCCCACCTAATTTAATTTATTATTATCCTCTTGATATCTTCAACTGGTGGGAACCTAGCAGAATATCAGCATAATCACATCCCTGTGTCGTAAGCTCTATTTCCTTCGAGTTTGACTTCATATTACTACAGTCATGGGGTGACATATCTTCATATCACCGCCAAGAAGCCAGCTGCAAATTACTCCAAACATTTTTGCTCATCCAAGCTCTGCTTTCTATCTACACATTGTCTGGTGACTCAAGTTCGATTCGCATGTCACGAAAAAATTGAACTTGACAATTAATATATATAACAAATCAAAGAGAAATAACTCATGAGCATTATGTTTAAAATTTGAAGTTAAGATGTGCTGTCGTTTAATTGCTTTTTTTGTTACTCATTTGTTATGTCCTTTGGATAATCGTTGCCCATTTCTAATACAAGTAATTTAAAAAAAAAATGAAAAGCTGGTAAGAAAAAAAATTTAAAAAAATGAATCACATGTAGGAACGTAGCCGGGGCCTGGTCAAGGATTGTGCTCCGTCCACGTAAATGGTGGTTCCTGTCATGTAGCGAGAATCATGACTGATAAGATAGATGACTGTTGATGCGAGGTCTTTCTTAGCATCCAGCCACCTCTCCATTGGCGCCGCCATCTTCACTAACCTCTCCGTCCTTTCCCTCCCCACTGATTTCGGGTACTCATCCCCCACGTGCAGCCCACGTGCGATGGCGTTCACTCTCACCTCGTACCTTCCTATCTCCATAGCCGACGCCTGACGACAACAATTGCATCAGTATCGAACCAACGAACCAAAGAACCCCCCAAAGCAACACAAAAGTCAAACTTTACATGAAGCGGTTAGATAAAGGGGCACATCATCACAGAATATAACTCGCTGATCCGATCGTCCGATGTGACCTCAACCTCGTGGTTCCTTCGAATCAAACACACTAGGCTGAGTAGGCCCATTATCCATTGCTCAGCCCAGATTCCTAACCCCTTTTTAGGCCGAAGCCCAACTACCAAAGGCAACAGTCAGCAATGAGAGAGAGAGAGAGGAGAGAGAGAGAGCAATGTCACTCACCCTGACTAGCTGTTGGATTGCGGCCATGTGGAGGCAAATGCGGCAGCTCCTGGGTAAAGCCCTCTCTCTGCACCAATTAGGGAAGTCATGAATATAATGGAACCTCCTGTTTGAAGTCTCTCATCTTTTGCCCCACGGCTTTCAACAAATACCATGCAGCCATGTAATTGATCCTCACTATTTTATTCACCTCTTGTTCTTCCACTTCTAGGTGTTCCTGCGTCTTTCCTGTTAATGTCAAAACATCTCATAACTTATTAGAACATAAAAAAAAAATCTCGCGTATAAATATTAAAAGATAAATAATAAATATATAAATTTAAAAAATATCTAATTAAATGATTTAAATTTTTTTGATAGAATATATTATCTTTAAGCATCTTTGTATATAAGAAATCTAATATATTTGATATCATGAGTCATTCATTTAGGGACCAAAATCCAAAAAAACAAAAGAAAGAAAGAAAAAAAAAAGAATGAAAGATTGGAAAAAAAATAAAAGATTAAAACAGAGAGAAAGAAAAGGAGAAGAAGAAAAAATTAAATAAACTTGAGGTCTTTAAAATTAAAAAAAAAATACAAGCTGAAGAAAGAAGAAGAAGAAAATAATTTACTATCCTTATGCATGTTTATGTGTGCAAAATCTAACATGACTCTATCTCAGTCCCTATCTCATTTACGGACTATGTATTCTCTATTCCCTCGGCGATTACGAGTGCAGTAACATGAATGCATACCTTCGTAAGTATAGCAGTTCACAAAAGCGTTTAAATTTCCCAATATCTTGCATGCCTTATCAACAGCCTCCTGGAATACGGCTTCCCTTTCTTGTTCCATGTCGAGTCCAATCACCTCCACCGGCGCAGCACCGCTCAGGCGACTCATTATGTGGTTGCTGATACCCCTCAGGCGACTCTCGTCTCCCATCAAAACCAGCCTGAACAGAGACTGTCAGCCTTGAGTTTCCAGCACTTTCCCGCCGGCAATCAAACAGAAAAATGAAAACGAGAAAGAAGAGACGGGGGTTATACCTGCATCCATGCTTGGCTAATTGGAAGGCGATACTCTGCGAAATCTCGTCGCCGTTGGAAGTGAGCAACACTGTCTTCCCTGAGTTTCCCATTTTGAGTTCTTCGCTTCAACGAATGCGCATCCCTTCTCCCATAATTTTTATATACACCCGCCACGTGACGAAAGATTCGGGGAAGCCCGCATAAAAAAAAAAAGAAACAAACAAAAAAAAATACTAAAACGGATTACGAGTTTTGAGAAGCATGTATAATTAACAAAAATGAATGGAGAAGGAAAAAAAACGTGTGCATGTAATTGCTAACCGATTTAATCAGACAACGAGTATTGACCCCACTTCGACCAAGGCAGCGAGCGAAGTCACGATTTCAAATTCATCCACCCCTTTCCATAATTTATGTGCGTACGGAGCCATTAATCTATCAAATATAAACCCTCATTTTTTTAGGAAAATAAAGTCTTTTGGACGACGCTCTGCTTGCTGTCCTGGATTCACATCTTGACTTTAAATTCCCACTTGTTTTATTGATTTCCCTGTGAAGTTATCTAACTCAAGCGTATAGAGCATATCAAAGTGCGTCATTGTTAGAGATCGCGAAACTTCGTTAGAGCAGATGAACAAATACGCGGAAATTCTCTCAAAGTGGCGTTCGTTCAGAAAACGTTTTCTTTCCATCTAGTGTTTTCTTAGTCTATACTTGTAATTTCTTGGCTGGTGTGGACCTAACATTTCTGGATTTTGTTATTAGTTCTTTTTTCTATGCTTTATATGTAAGAGATTTTTTAAGTCTTATTGGTTGTTGTGATGTATGTGAATACTAAGATTAAGTTCGCACCGTTCACGACAGACTCGATCACGACCTGAAAGTGCTGGGAAAAAGCCAAAGTTTGACCGAGTCTTGGTATTAGAATATACGTGAAATGTGATACGAAAATGTCATTGGTAAGAGCTGACTTCGTGTAACAAAGCAGGGGTGCGGGGCCGGCTCGGCACGTGAACTTGGAAACAGCTGATACAGTTGTGAAATAAAAATACTCAGATGTAACCAAATTGGAAAGCTGAAACGGTAGAGTTTGAGGCACGAGAGATTCAGATGGCAACTATTCAAGCTTCGGTTGCATATTAGGAAAATTTCCCCCATTCATTTCTGAAATTTTTGGCACATGTAAAGATTTTAAATTATGTTAAAGGGTGCAGAGCTGTCATGTTTTTTTTTTTTTTTTGGGTGCTTTTGTAGTGGGGCTATAGCAGCAATTACAAGAAAACGACTTTGGTTATCGTCCTTTAAAAATGACTGATTTTTTTCTGTTTGATCATGATTTATGTGTCACTAATGTTAAATAAGGTTTTTTTTTTTTTTTACTGAAATGAAGAAAGAGAGAGAAAATTCTTTATATGCTATAGTATGAAAATTATTTTCCTAGAATAATACAAATAGCAAAGCGGTTTCTGTCAGCCCAATTTTAATTTGTCAGATAAGTTTTTTAATTAATATATATTAAACCTGGTTTCATGGAAACCAATTTTAGGGAATAATTTTTAGAAAAAAAAAACAATATCTAGGGAACTTGTAAACCTAAATCGGTATTTGTGAGGCTGATCTCACTTTAACTTTTTTTTTCAAAAAAAAAAAAATCTTGTAACTGCGTTGTGGATGTGACGCCACAGCAGCTCCAGCAATTTAGACTTGGCGCCACGTATGCCCTTTGAGAATATATGTAGTGTCGGTCATCAAATGTTCATCGAAGTTATTAATAATTTTAGCCTTTTATTTCAACATTATTTGATTCTTACTGTTCATTTAAATTATTTTTTAATATTTTTAATATTATATTTATTAAAATAAAAATATAAAAAATTTTAATATTAAATCTATATTATTTAGAGTACATTTAAATGATTGATTTATAATATTTATAAATTTTTTAATATTAAATTAGATCATTTAAATTATATTTAAACTGTACAAAATCTATCTGTATAGTTAAATTATAAAATTATAAATTTTTTAATATTAAATTAGACTGCTGGATTAAATTTATACAATCAGATTGGTAATAAATAAATATATTAAAATTTTAAATTTTTTAGGTTTTTTAAATTAATAAATATAATATTAAAAATATTTAAAAAATTAATTTAAAAAATAATAAGGATCAACTAAATTGAAATAAAAGGTCAAAATTATTCTTGACTTTGATGAGCATGCAGCAATCAGGTAGTGTGCCAATGTAGTGTCAAGTCTCATTATGTGTAGGATGGTATATTCTTCCTAGTTTCTTAGACAAATAGACCGCAAAGAAAACCAAATTCCTATATGCATGTGAATGATTTGAATGCGAGAGTATAGTGTGCATCAGTTTTTCTCATAGACACGCGCCACCATAAAAAAAAGTAGAGGTTAAATGTTTCAGTTTCGAGTTTCCATTTTTTTCTCGTGCTTTTTTTTTTTTTCCTTTGCTCCATTTTCTCCTCTGTTCATCTTCATTGTGCCATTTCCTTGAAGTCCAATAACTGTTACGCGTCTCAGAGATCTTTGACATCAAATTTAAAAGTATGTAAGCACATTTGTTTTAATATTTTAATTATCATGTGACTTTAATATTTTAATTTCTTTTGCTCTATTGTCATGTGATTCAATTTTTTAATTATGATAAAAAAGTGGTTAATTCTTTTTATGCATGATTAGGTGTTTTTTATTAGTAGGATTAGATATCTATGTAACTCTGGCCAAGTGATATTTTATTTTGATGCTATTGTTGTGTTATACAATTCTCATGAGCTTTAATATTTTTATTTTGATAGAGTTTTTTAATTAGTCAAGGCTGTACAATAATTTTTATACGCCTTTATGTAAATTTGCCTCATACAGGGGTAAATGAATGACAGAAAAGAATCAATATGCATATATGTAAATGCAATGGCAGTGCCAAGACCTTGGATTATGGAGTGCAGTGTTTTTAAAATTAATAATTTAAAAATAATTAAAAATTTTTGAGTCCAAAATCTTTGAAATTGAGTTAAGGGGTACAAAATATTAGAATACATGAACCTTTCTTGTAATTTTCTTCAAGCTCAAATGGTGTATTTGCCGCCCATGTGCAAATGTATGAATTTTTGATGGTTCAAATGGTGTAACATTTGAATTTAATGATATAAGAATAATGGGGTTAATGTTGATATTACTTTGGCTCAACTAAAATAAGATGTTGGGCAAATATTAGAGGTCCTTCCAATTAGTCTGTGTCCAATCTAATTTATAGATATGCAACAGTCATAAATTTACTAAGACATCGAGCATGAAAGTTGTAGAGCATTTCTAACATAAAAAAATTTGTGGCACATGAATTTGTGATATTCAAATTAATTGACAGGACCAAAGTTGTGCATGCACATTTCAAATTTAGAAATTGAAAACTTTCATGAATCACAACCACTAAATGACTTTATTAGATATGTGTTCCCATCAAGTATTAATCAAACAGACCTCACGAAATAAGGAAGAAGCCTTAACTTGCAATTAGAAAATTTACATCTTTTTGAACCTCGCCACGATGAGTGTATCATCTACTACACAAACTCCATCTAAAGATATTATGAATAACTTTGAAGACAAAGATGAGTATAATTTTTTTATTAATGGAGGTGGTGACCATGATAACGATGATGTATATCAAGAGTACAATGAAGAGCCTGCCTCAACTTTCTTCTCACAAATAAATATGGAGTTTGTTGTAGTTGTGGAAGGGGAGATACACCTTTCTCAGAAAACGTCTTATCTTTTCTCTTGTGTTTACGGTGATCATAATCCTTGCTATCGTGAACAACTTTGGAATTCTATAAAAGATCCTGCTAATACTATTTCTAACCCCTGGCTTATTATCGGTGACTTCAACTGTCACCTCTCTTGTGATGATAAGCATGGTAGTAGCGGGTATAATTGGCGGTCTATGAAGCTTTTTAAATAATGCATCAACTCCTTCAATGTCCTTGAACTTAATTTTGAGGGTGATAAATTCACTTGGAAGAAAGGTAACATTAAAGGAAGACTCAACTGGTGCTTTTGCAATACAGGACGGAGACTAAAATTTAATCAAGCTAATACTTTTCATCTCCTTAAATATGATCCTGATCTTCGTCTGATTAGAATCCAACTCAAGGATAACGCTAATTACAGGACTCATGATGCACCTTTTAGATGCCACGCTGCTTGGGTGGTCAAAGAATCTTTTCAATCCGTAGTTAAAGACACATGAGTTGAGAAGACTAGATAAAACTTGAAAAATCTCTTTAAGAAGTTTATAGTAAAACTTTTCTTCAAGAAGAATTGCTTTAGTTCCAAAAGTCTAGATGCAAATGGCTAAAATGAAGAGACAGGAATTCTAAATTCTTCCATACTACTGCTATTATCAGGAGGAAAAGGAATCAGATACTATCTCTCTAAGGTGAAGATGGCAACTGGATTCAAGATCCCTTCATTCTCAAATATCAAGCTGCTTCTTATTTTGAGAACCTGTTTAAGGAAGATGCTCAGGCCAGACCTAAATTAATGACTGCTAAGAGCTTCCCCCCTCTAAACTACTCTTAGTGCAACTAATCCACAGAGACAATACTAAAGAAGAAATAAAAAATGCTGCTTTTGATATTGGGGCTTTTAAAGCTCTTGATTTTAATGGCATTAATACTGGCTTCATTCAATGCTGTTGGAATGATCTCAAAGATAATATTATCCAATTGGTTAAGAATATCTTTATTGATCCCACTATTATTAGCGAGATTAATGAAACCTTTATAACCTTTATCCCTATGAATGAAAAGCCAAGTTGTATGAAAGATTTTCGTCTAATATCTCTATATAATGTCAGTTGTGAGATAATTACAAAACTTATTTCCAACCAGTTTTGGCAATGTATGAATTATTTAATTGGAGACAGTCAATGTAACTTTCTTTAAGGGAGGCAGAGTAGTGATAGCATCATCATCACGCAAGAAATTATTTACTCTATGAGAAAAAAAGTTAAAAGGAAGGGATTCTTGGCTCTTAAAATTGATCTTGAAAAAGCCTTTAATAGACTCTCTTAGGACTTTATTGAAGATACTCTTCGTGCTATTGGCCTCAATGAGAAATTTTGGAAACTCATTATGACAGCCATCACTACCACTCGTATGAGTTCCTTAGAATGTTGAACCAACTAATGAATTTACTTCGACATGTGGAATCATACTGGGGGTCCTCTTTCGCCTTACCTCTTTATTTTTTGCATTGAAAGATTAAGTCATAGCATCCTTAATAGCATTAATGACAAAGATTGGAAGCCTATTAGCCTAATTACTAATAGATGTCCTATCTCTCACCTATTTTTTGCTGATAACTTTTTTTTTTGCATAAGCATCCCTTAATCAAGTAAGGATCATCCAAAAATTTGTTGATAATTTTTGTAAAGCTTTGGGATAGAAAGTCAACAACTCTAAATCTAAACTTTTCTGCTCCAAGAATGTTAATATCAACAGAGTAATCCAGATCAGTAACAAATTAGGAATCCTTATGATCGAAAACCTTGGCAAATACTTAAGGATTCCTATTATACATGAAAGAGTGTTTAAACTACTTTCGTTCCTCTTCCTGATAGAATCAATTCATGCTTGTCTAATTGAAGAGCCATTACCTTAATACTACTGGGAAAGTTATTCTCATAAAATCGATCCTATCTTCTATTCCTAGCTATGCGATGCAGACTATGCTCTTACCTAATAATGTTTTGTCTGAAATGGAAACTCACACTCATAACTTCCTTTAAGATTTTACTAATGGCTTAAAGAAGCCTCGCCACTTGTCTTGGGATCATATTACCAAGGATACTAAACATGGAGGCCTTCGTTTTAAAAATTTGAAAAGTCAAAACATGACCTATATTATGAAACTTTGTTGGGAAATTATTACGAAGCCTAATTATCTCTGGATTTGAGTCTTATGCGATAAATACAAATGCCAAAACCCTATCATTCTTATGGTGTGTAAAGCCAACTCTTGCTCATTTTGGTTTGATAAATGGTGTCCCCTTCCTAAACCACTTGTGAAGCATGCTTTTCCTAAGATAGGTTTTATTTTACATGTTAAAGTCTCTAAGTTTTGCTCTGAGTTAGGAAGATGGAAGATTGATCAACGATGCAGATATTTGCATTAGGATGTTATTGACCATATTACCATCATTCAACCTCCAAAGCCCAATGCAGATGATGATACTTTATGTTAGAGGCCATCCAATGATGACAAGTTTACCATCAAATTTGTGTATGAGACTATTGAAAATCAATGCCACAACAACAACTTCAAGATATAGTCTAAGATTTGGAAATGGTCGATTTATGAGAAAGTCAAATCTTTCTTGTGGAAAGTGATTTAGGATTGCCTTCAATCCAAATTCACATGTTCTAATGAGGGCATTCCTTGCATCAAGACATGCCCTTTTGGATATAACTCTTTAGATTTCTGTTGTTCATATATTAAGAGATTGTAAAAAATCTAAAAAGGTTTAGACAAAAATAGTCAAACAATCTAAACTTAACACTTTCTTTTCTCATCCCTTACATGATTGAATAATGTGAAAGGCGGAGAATGATACGGGCAATGCATGTGTAAGGAAAATGTCTTGGCAGATACTCTATGCCCATGTATGTTAGAACATATGGAAAGATATATGCAAAAATGTATATTCTGAAGAAGAAACTGAAAATAAAGACATTACTTTCACCAGCATCCAGGATATTCTTAAAGATCAGCACCTTTAAACAAAAATTAATTTCTTATCTCAAAAAGGTGATAGAGCTACAACTAGATGGATTGTTCATGAAGAAAGATGGGTTATGTTGGATACTGATGGCTCCATCAACATTTATGGTGCAGTTAAATGTGGAGGTCTTATTCGAAGCAATCAAGATAATTGGATTAAAGGTTATTCCAAACACTTTGGTTATTACTCTAGTACAACAGCCGAGTTTATGGACCTTGAAAGGTTTAAACATTTGTTGGGTTGAAAAGTTTAATAAAGTTAATGTTTATAAGAAGTTTTCTTGCTAATCCACAACTAGTTCTTTACTACCTACCCACTATACCCACTATATGAAATTATCAATAAAATCATCTATCTCATCATGCGAGAATGAATAATCACATTTGATCACGTTTTTAAAGAGGTAAATAAATGTGCAAATTGATTATCTCATCAAGTTTATATATATCCACAATTTATACACTCATATTTTTGATACCCTGCCACTTGATTATTGTAATTTTTTATACATTAATGTGAATCATATTGTAAACTAGCATGGCTTATCCTGTGGCTTTTAATTATTTTTAAAAAAAAAAAACAAGGGCAAGAGAAGCAGATTGTACGCCCAAGGCGCTGGTTCCAAAACGGTCAGAGCGTTAGCCAGGAAGAAACAAATAAACAAGATTAATCATTTGAGATGATATAGAGGAGTCTACTGAAAGAAGTGCCGGAAATGGCGAGCTCACCCGCCGGACTGCGGATGCTGAAGCCACCGCTTACAGCTGCTCCTGTGTCGCGCTCGCATTCCAGGCAAGCTTTGTCATTCGACTTCTTGGCCTTCTGGCACTTCTCTTCGTTCTGGTTTATGGAATTATTATTGTTTGATCCGTCGTTGCTTACAGGTTAAACTTTCCAAAAACTCGATTTCTCAGAGTCACGTGTGATTACTCGTGCTTAGAGGTATGTTCTATTTTGTCAATGACCATTTTTTGATTATAACTTGAAATCAAAGTTCTTGTTTTTAAGCAATAGTCACTTGATAATACCACTACAGAAATACAAATTCTTCACTGGGTAAGGCACAGAATGACACTGATTTTTTTTTTTAAATATACCCGGGTCTTTTGGGGCTGAGTTCGTCTGGGTTTCTTCTTTTCAAGTTACTAACGTTGAAGGGATTGAATAGTCCATATTGTTGTTTATTGCATCTAATTTGGATTTGGTTTTCCTTTATAAATTATTGGCTTACTGAACGAATCTTATAAGAACCAGGTAGTTATTCAAAATCATGTCATATTTCATAATTTATGGACGAGAATTTACGCGTGCATGGATTTTAAGAAGTCAATCTGGCTTTCTATTTCTGGCACCGAGCATGCAAAAGTTTATTTGTCATGTTGAAAGTTTACTGCCTTTTGCACTACACCTAGTTGCAGATTTTCATGATTAGGGGCATTATTGTGACAAAGTGCAGAGAGTTAGTATGACAATGTGATGTTTTGCTTAAGGTTAGAGATGTCAGCTATCAGCCCCCAGGGACTCAGTTGAGCCTTTTGAAGTCAATTAATTTTTCACTTCGTGAGAAAAGGTATTTATTGCTGTGTAATTTTACTGCAAAACATTCAGTATGAGTTTTGGATTGTTGGTATTATCTTTATTGAGCTGAACCAGGTTCCCTTATTATAATTCCTTAGGCATTTTCCTTTCTCTTTTAACAGAGACAAATTGATGATTTCCCAGAACACAGTTTTACGGGTTTTAAATAAGGCTGAGGTTCACGATAAGGGAGGGTTGCGTGAGTTCTAGATAACCAATTGGAGCTAACATAATATAAGCTACTAGTTACCACATCTCCTCAAAAAAAAAAAAAAAACCTCGTGAGGAAGTAATCCTGCAATAGAATATGACAGCTGGCACCTATATGTTGGACATTTTACATTTTTTGGAACTGGAAATTTTTTGTATATTGGCTCAAGAGGTTCTGACTCGTTTCTGTCAATTGCCACAGTTTTGGCCTAATTTTTGGACAGAGTGGAAGTGGAAAAACAACTCTCTTGCAGGTTGGATTTCCCCTTGGTTTTAATGCATCTGGTTTCCCACATCACTTATCTTTTTGGTTATCTGTTAACTCTCCTCCAATGCCCCCCCTTTCCCTTATTTAGCTTCTGGCAGGGATAACCAAACCAACCTCTGGTTCCATTTGCATCCAAAAATATGATAGTGATGGTAAGCCAAGCCAATCTCCCCAACCATTGGTGCCAGAAAGGGTTGGTATTGTCTTCCAGTTTCCTGAGAGGTACAAATATAAAGTTGTTGAATATAGCATGAGATTTTGTTACTCTGTACTTTATGATGTGTTTATTCTTGAGTTGTGAATCTGGAAAAGCATTATTTGACTTTACAAGCATGACATACAACAGGGACATGCTTGTTCTTCTCTCTGTCCCTAGTCTATTGTGGAGGACTTCTTACCCTCTATATTTTTTCCCCTCATTCATATTTGTTAGAGATCATTTTAAAAACTATTGATGGACCTTTAGTTATTAGCTTAAGCTTTTGGCTATGTGCACGATGAAGTCACTTTCACCTGATAATGTTCTTGAGCTTAACCTTCGTTTACACATGAGTTCGACCATAGGTACTTTGTGGCTAATAATGTGCTTGACGAAGTCACTTTTGGGTGGCCAAGACAAAAGGGTGACTATCAATTAAAGGAGCATCTTGCTTTAAGACTTCAGAGGGCAATTAACTGGGTACTCAGGCCTCTGTAATCTAGCGTCTTCTTATACTCTTGACACAATTTTGTTTCATTTTCACAAGCATTGATATCATTATTCCTGCCCATTATTTATATATGACTTTCTATTCATTTTTAATGCATTTGCCGTTTTCATAAATTATGCTCTTGTATTCATAACTAAAGGTTGGATTAAGTGGGATCTCCTTGGATAAAGATCCTCACTCCCTTAGTGGTGGTTACAAACGTCGTCTAGCATTGGCAATACAGTTGGTAAGAATTATTTATACTGCCTCACATGAACAGCATCTACATTATGCAACATTTATGAAGTAATTACAGGTAAGGTCTACTGATTGCTTATTGATTTCATGCTTTCTTTCCCTCATGTAATTTTCAGGTTCATATCCCTGATGTTTTGGTACTAGATGAGCCTCTTGCTGGTCTTGGTATGAAAAAATATTTGTGCTTTTTTTTTTCATACTTTGTTGTTGGCTGTCTCTGAATTTGTATGGATTTTCTAATATTTCTATTATTTACCATTAAAAGTCCCTGCTTATTTTAAGAACACGAATTTTAGCTCTTTAATCACATTTATCCTTTATTTTAAGCTGTGTCTAATACTGCTTCACTGGTCAGATTGGAAAGCACGTGCAGATGTTGTGAAGCTTTTGAAGCATCTGAAAAAAGAATTGACCATACTAGTTGTGAGCCATGATTTAAGGTTTCTTTTCAGATATTAAATATTTATTTCTTATCATGGATTATGGATTTTGCTTACTTGTAATTATTCAATTTTTGTATGGTCTCGAATGAGTTTGTCATTTGTTTTAGTTTGTAGTTTATCAATGTCATTTAGACATCTAGAAATGCAAACTTAGTTGTTCTTGAATGCATGGTGATTCTTCTGCTATTACTCATAAGAATCAACTACTTCTAATGTTTCCACCTTTTATGACCTCGATGGTTGGGAAGCTTTTATTTTTATCTGCTTATCGTGAGACAGGTTGTAACTCATTTTTAACAGAAGTCTTCTTTCTCTCTAATCTCTTGATATATTATGCACAGCTAATTTTTCTTATGTGGCTTCTTGTGTGCATTTCAGAGAGTTAACAAGTCTAGCTGATCGATCGTGGAGGATGGAAATAGGTGGCAATCTTAGGGAGGAGCCACTACCATTGTAAATATGGGAACATTCATTGCCTTTCTGATCAGCATGGATGCTACAAGGTTTGACCCCTAAGCTTTGAGTGCGATTTATGCTTTCAACTGCACCTTGAATGCCTAAATTGGAATTCTTTTAACTAAAACATATAGTAGTTTTTCCTTTCAAAATGACTTGGAAGCTATCTATTGGAGTGATAGAGCTATATATCATGCTCACAAAAATCATAGTGATATGAGATGTAAAAGAAAAATCTCAACCTCTAGAGGGTAGAATAGTGGGTTCTGTTTTTCCAACTTTAGTGCTCGTGCAGTCTTTAGAAGTTCAACCTCTGCAAGATAGATTTGGCTTTTTGAAGTTTAATCACACATCAATATATCCATTATTTGTGTAGTTTATCATAAAGAACCTTGAATGGTCAAATGATCTCCAGTTTACCAGTGAGGCCAGAGTTCCCTTTAATGTCTCTAGCATGACATTACAACAATTTTCGGTAATGAGTAGGGTCAGATAAGTCCTGGAAGTTCATGGTGGTGATTAAAGATAATTCCTTGTGATCTGGCTGTTTGTTTTCATTTTAAATGTCTTCTATGACATGGTCAGAATGATGATATAAGAGTTATCACTATGGATGGTATCCACTTTGTCAAGTTAGGTTAGAACTAATAGGTGTAGGACATGCCCCTTAATTAGGATTGGTCTTGCTTGTTGTGGCACAGGAATAATTTGGTATAATATATACCAAACCAGCAAGTGACAAGAATCAAGTTTACTTATTAGGAAGCTTTCATAAAAGTCACATCTTCATGTCAATACTGCGGCATATCTTACAGACAATTCTTCAAATTGAATATATTACCACTCTTCCACTCAAAAGCACATGCATAACATAACCATACTATCAGATGCTAGATTCACAAGCTCTCTTATGGAGAATCAATGTATTACTAATTTACTATTTACTGCCATTTTCTTACAGCTTCAGCTGCTACAGCTCCAGCACCAAATCTACAATGCCAATAATTATAAAAGGGTCAAAACATATAAAGATTAATTCTGTCATGCCACCCTTCTAAAATTATGATGCTCTACAGAACATTGCTTTGTAAGGAATCTGGAAATCTGCCGAGGATTTAGTTTGCAATTTGGCGAAATATGTATGCATATAATATTATACCAACATTTTCTTGTCGTGTCGACTTGTGTTTTAAGAAAAAGTGGTGGGAAATGGAAAATTATTCCTGATCATATTATCCCAGATAACTCTGACAATACTTTATAGTTATCTTTATAATGTCCAAGATAGCTGTCAAGTATAATATGTATATTTCTTCTAAGTGAATTCTTTTGTCCCGTGCAGTATAAGGGAGATATTATGACTTGAAAGTTTCTTGAAGATTTTACTCATATTTTTAACATTTAAGCCCTATTGAAATATGTCAAGAAATATTGAAAGAATAAAAACAAAGTTGCATGGAGAAAGCTGGAAGAGTAAAAAAAGGTTGGATGAAGCTTGTGAAGAGCCACGCTGATTATGGCTTGTAAATAGTCTGGCACTGTATACTTACAGTTTGCATCCGTTTTGATCCATTGTTCCCTTTTCCCACCTGAACTCATGCTATTTATTTAAATGATGTTGGGGCAGGTTCCAGTTGGTCTTGCATTGTTGGGACCACTTTCTTGGCCTAGATTTTGAGCAAAATCTTCTGCTTTCATTTAAGTGTCCTGGGTCTTTTAATCCATGGCAATGATCACGGTGGGCCTTCTTGACCTTACCCTTGGCAGAGTTGATAATATCCTTTGCATTTATGGAGTTTCCAGGGTAGACTTTTTTGTGAAACATGCGTTGAACCTGCACACCCAATATGAATGAACTGAATATTCTAATACAATTTTTTTGTTTGATTAATATTAAAATGATGAGATTACTATTGAAATTGTAGTAGATTAATACCAAGTAAAATATTTTCTGCTACATTTTTGGATGTCTAGATTCTAGACCTTTAAACTCGAATTGATTTGTTAGCCTTTCTAGCAAACGTGCGTATTATAGAAAGTCTAACTTGGAACTCTTTGGACTAATGGTCTCTAGACTTGCTTACAACTTGTAAATATCGATATGATGACCTTATTGTGGTCCTCCTTTGTTTCTGTTTCTGGTGTGTTAAATGACCCTTTTTTTGAGCAAAAATGTTAAATGACCCTTAATGAAGATAAACAACCTGTGGATTTATGGTTATGCAGAATTTTGGCTAATAATATGAGAATCAGATGATTTGCACATTTAAATTTGTATTTGTCATGTTTGACTAGGATGAGACAGACATGCATCTCAATTTTCATGTGCTATAATCAAAGGCTTGGGCCAACTGTGGGATTTGTTGTTAAAAAAGTAGTCCTGTAAAGATCTAAGTCTAACAATAGGGACTAACCTTATTGAGTTTTTAATTGGTTGAAGTAGAGCTAGCTTCTCCCTCAGTACAACTCCTTGAAGAAATTTGGACCTTTGTAAACATCCTTCTCATAATATGCACAGCAGATCTATGTGTTTTCTTGACTTGTGTCTCTCCAGTTTCTCCTGTCTGTGTAAAGTCTTGATTTGCTTTCTTTGTCCTATGAACCAGCTCTACAAGTGATGCCCTTTCGTTTCTCACTTCTGTTGTCTCTGGAAGTTCAATTGATGACCCAAAGAAGTATCCTTGGAGTGGATGTATAGTTGTGTTTCCACAATCTTCTTCTATGGCTCCATCCATTGGCTTGCCACCAAGTGTGATAGTGCTAATATGGTTGTTTCTTCCTGATTCAGTGAACCTTTCTTCATTTTCAGCCTCAAGGAACTTCTCTAGCTCATAACAAATGCGCTGCAGCTCATTCTCAGTGACTGCTGCATTTTCTCAGCGATTTTTTCTAAAGGTAATACAAATGCCAGTGTCACTGGTTCTTCAGTGACTGTATCTGCAACAAAAGTTCCAATGGTGAGAAAGCCTTCAAAGACCTCAGAGATGACTGTAGATGTTTCATTTTGTGGCCTCTCTTCATCTCTCTTGTTTTCATATTCAGAATAAGAGGCTTGACTTTCCCGTTGGTATGGTTTTGAGAATCCAGATTGATTTCTAGAGTTGAAGCTTCGCTTTGCATGAGATTATTGGCTGTTAAATGCCGGCTGTTGTGCAAGGCAAGAACAAGGATTTCCTGAAATTAGTTTCCCAAAAGAAATTAGTGTATTGGCAAAAATTAGCGGCTATAAGTATACCTAAGATTTGGGAAACCGTTTTAGTTTCTTTTTTATTGCTTGTGCTCTGGAATGTGCCATTTAGACAATTCTTGAGCTCCCAAAAATCGATGAGTAAGATCAGGAACATGGAAAAATTGCCCAATGTATGATGTGGACAAGGTGGCCTAGTGGTAAATTAGGGTTTTAATCAATCCGCTGAAGTGGATTGTAGATGTTTCTAGAGGTAGAGTGGTCCCAAATCTGTTTAAAATCACAATCTAGGACAATTTGACGTCAACTTTTGCCACAGCATCAAAACCTTTGGGTCAGATTATTATGCACATATAATGGTGTAGCTTAGTGAAAATAACAAAGTAAATTTCTTCTTGCAATTTTGTTGATAGGCAGTTACAAGTTGGTCAGACATCATAGTAGCATCAATTTGGATTGATGATGAATTTAGCATTCACTAAATGCTTGCCTATATATCCAATTTCATTGTCAACTTTCACTTATTCCCCCCCGGCCCCCCAAAGAAAGAAAGGACTGGAGAAACAGCAGAGGAAGAGAATGGGGGGCTATTAGGGCTATTAAATACCTAGGGCGACATCCCTGGAGCTTCAACACGATTCAGCCAAAATTTTCGGTACACCCACTGAAATAGCTGCAAGAAGACAAGGCAGAGATGAAATTGAAAGATCATAGTTGCATTTCAAATTAGTAGCTGGAGACTTACCTTCATTTTGGTCGCTCGTGCTGATGTTCCGGTCGCTTATGTTTTCTTGGCAGATATATTATGCCAGTAGATTTAAGTGTTCTGATAAGTGGCCTCTAGACTGAGGAGAAATGGATTAATAAAATGAGTAAACATAAATGCCTTCTCAGTGTGACTAACACTGGGAGCAGGTAGTTTTCAGAATGGCCTTAGATACTCGTGAGATAAGGCAAAAACAAATAGATGGATACAATCGATCTTTTCAAAATCTGATCAGCGGGAGAAATTAGGGAATGGACTGCGTATCAGTTGGTTGGAATTTCTCTTCATTATTGTTTATCCAGAACTTGTATTTGATGTTGTAAGAGTGGCTCTAAAGCTCATTCCGAGTATTTCATTTGTCTAACTGTTATTTAACTCCTGAAAGATTGGTAGAGCATGTTAGGCATTATATTTGGAATTCCAATGGCACAATTGCTGCTTTGTGAGGGTAGGTTGCAAAAATTTTGGATTTGCTTTGTCACAGAAAGTGATGGATGCGTTTAAAGGTTTTCTGTTGATATATAATTATGATTGTATTATTTTGGCTTGGTATTAATGCAGCTGCAATGATAAAAAGAGGTATTAATATTTGCAGACTGATTCAAGTGAGTTCAAGTCGTGTCCCTCAACTGAAAGTTAACATCTATGTGGTTTGCCTAGTGATTTCACGGGATTACAATTTCAGGCGTCCTCGCATCCTTTTGACCTTGTAATTTTGCATGATATATTGGGCACAAGGGATTTTAAGCAAGCCCCTTCATTTGCATCTTTTTTGATCAATGGGCTATTCTCTGCTTGCATCGCCATTCGCCACCTTGTTCATCTGATTGTATCTTTTATGCCTATGCCTATGATTTGATTTGAGTGTCCAGGATTAAATGAGCCATTTTCTTTGGGCAGAGATGATTTTGACTTGATTTATATTGCTGTAACCATTACTTGTAGTTGCTGCTCCTGGAATATCAATATGCTACCAGCAAAACGATGGTGGAATTATTTTTGGCTTAGGGCAAAGCTGTGTAGTAAGGCGCGAAAGATTCAATATTTGCGAGTTCTAGGGTTTATGAAATCAATTTTACCGGGTGATGGTGTCCCTCCCTTGTGGCAGGCATGAATAATTGGTATTTTCAGGCAAAACAAGGAGACTTGGTGGATTTGGAGGAGTCAGAGGAGTAGGGAGTAGGAAGTCGGAAGTAAGGACAAGGAAGGCAGAAACAAGCATGTGGGAGTCATGGGTCTTTTCTGGGTTCAGTGGGCGATTAGAATTGTAGGCGCCCACGTGAATCCTGCGTGGCTTCCCGAGGAAGGATATGATTTGCTTCTCCTTGTCACACCCATTCTCCGCTCATTCTTTCCCAATTCCCATTATTTTTCTTTTTCTTATTATAAAACTAAATGCTGTTTTTTCATTTACTTTTACCAAAATAAAAACATGTCATTTAAAATTTCATTTAATATTTGTTTTATATTGAAAACTACAAATATATTTTTTTCCTAAAGCTAAAAAAATTGGATGGTTGTATTGGTCAAATACATAAAACTTGTTATATAAAATTATAAATCATGGAAATGAGGGAATTTAGTTGTAATATCATATTTTTTTGTTTTTAAAATTAAAAAAGATCCTGTTCTCTTGGATATTTTTTTCATTCTCACATGTATCCTCTCATTGAAGATAACCTTGTTTGAGATATCATTAGACACAAAATGTAGATACTTCTCTTAGTGAGGATTGAAACTTCGATTTGCCGTAATGTGAGGGGATAGCCAAGTTCGGTATACCTAGCCTCCCTGGCTGTACTCTGGCAATGTTTACAAATACACAAGTGTAAATTAAATCTATAAAAGGGGCTGTATTTTTGTTTTGGGTAAAAAAGTTAAATGATAATATTAACAATAAAAAAGTCTTACAAATGAAAGTAATTCATAGAATGGTGAGAAGAAAAGACAAGTTAGCAGGCCAAAGTGGCTGGATTTAAGCACAATACTGGGCTTTCTTTGTTTGTTTGTTTTTTTCAATGCCAATGCAGACAGAACAATTGGGGGTGTGATTTTCCCTTTTCATCACCAAAACAAATAAAAAATACTTGGGTGATAGAATAGCAAAACTGTTGTAAATGAATTATTATAATTGTGATATATTTACAATCACATTTTTGAATATCTCACCTTCAACTTAATGAGCACAATATATTTCAGTTTTGAGAATGAGGATGAGATTTCAAATTTGAGGAGAATATGTATTTTTGTCATTTTAATTTGACTTAAATATTAATTCGGTCACATTGTAAAATATTTATAATGTTAAGCTGTTATTTTTGTTTTCTTATTAAATGGGTTATTTTGTGCAAGAGTCCCTTCAGAATTTCAGTTGTCCCCGGTTGTAAAATCCCATACTTGAAATTTTTGGTTTGGGTCAACATCTGAATTGGTCGTGGGCCCCTGCACGGCCCATACCTTATTTCACAAAGACAAATTCCATGACAGCTCAGCTTACCTAGTCTGTCCTCATTTATTTAATCATGTAATTATCATATACTAAGAAATTTAATATCATTTAAATCTTGTAAAAAAATGTTATATCGATCATCCTCCCAAAGCCCACCACCGTCAACCATTTCATAGTATTCACTCTGACATTATTATGTTTGAGAGGATTTTTCAGCGGACACTCAACACCATAATAGTCTTTACAAATATTTCATTTGTATGATATTAATAATATGTCATGTGATAGAATAAGGAAATTATATAATGTTAATTAAAATACTTAAAATTATATTTGTAGCATTGTTTACATAAAAGTCTATTGGTGATGCCAGACGCCAGCTGCGAAAAAGAGCCAGCCTAGAAGACGAATCTTAACAGCTACTTGGTCCATAATTTAAAAAAGGATTTTGCCAAGATTCCGAGTCTCTTTTGGATTGCGAGGCAATTCCACGTTCTCATCTCACCATTATCTATCCCCCAATCTTATTTTTCAACAATGATTTTGGCTTTTTCTTGCTTCGGCGTTCTACATGCTAAGGAATCATAAATATTTTAAAGCAAATATATCTCATAAAATAGTTAAAAAAAACTTATTACTACTTTAAAACTTCTAAATCCATGATAATTGTCCTCCATATTTTTTTTAAATTTTTTTAAACAATATTACTCTTTCAAACGTAGAACATAATTTCTAAAAATTAGAAAAGTTGTCCTCTGAATAAATGATACTAACAAACAATAGTTATTCCTGGCACGAAATTGTTAAATTGACGTTGCTTATGCATTGATCTTTGACCAACAGTTTATTTTTTTAAAAAAAGAAACTTTATTCTTATCATGTGTAAAAGAAAGAAATTTTTTTTCATTATATATATTTTACCAGTGTGATCTGTTTTTGCTGCTTGAAATTGTTTTTGTCCAGATAACAAAATCGAAATAAGAAATGAATTATTTTTAAAATTATCTTTTTGTTATTTTCATTATTAATGTCAAAGAATAATACTTTAAATTGCCCCCCCGCACTCTCATAATTACACGAGCGGAATTCGAGCCATCTGCACTAAATGTCTAATGATATTGGTGTATTACTATATTTAACTTTTAACAGTGGTAAATGTAAGCAATAAAATTTTTTTTTCATTAAATATCAATTAAAAAATATTAATATTTAAATTTTAATCGTGAAGACTAGTTTTTCACAAAACCTTTTGTGGCAAAGACGGAATCGTGACCAACCACTCAACGTTTTTTGTGGTGTTGTAGGTCAGAATCAGTAAAGCACATCCCATCACGCAATCATTTCTATTTTAGATTCCCCATAGACCCGGATTCCATCCCACTTTGATTGAATCCAGAATCCCGAATTTAACAAAAAAGTTAAGTGGAATTCATGGGGACTGAGAGCTCCTCCGTGGATATCTCGGAGCATTTGCTTGGGGATGATCAGAAGGCTCCGTCCTCGGAATTCGAGCACGTTCCTGAATGGAAGGACCAGATCACGGTCAGAGGGCTGTTGGTGAGTGCGGTTCTGGGGAGTCTTTTCTGCATCATCACCCACAAGCTCAATCTCACTGTTGGGATCATTCCTTCTCTGAACGTTGCTGCTGGGTTGCTTGGGTTCTTTTTCGTTAAGACCTGGACTAGCTTCATGTCCAGGTTGGGTTTCTTCACCAAACCCTTCACCAGACAGGAGAACACCGTCATTCAGACTTGTGTTGTCGCTTGCTATGGCCTTGCTTTCAGCGGTAACTCACCCCCTCCTTCGTTTAGCTTAAAATCGTGAGCTTTTCTGCTTCTGGATTTTCCGGATGCACCATTATCCTCTTATATTTTAGCTGAATTTAACTCACCTATTCCCACATCTGCCCGCTGCTTAAGAGATCTTTCTTGTTTTTTTAGACACCAGGAGTATCATTAGCTTAGCTGACAGCAGAGACTAATCTTCTTTAACTGCCAGAGCAATAAGTAGACCCCTCTATGCTTCTCGGGAACGTGATATGACAAAAGAAACAAACAAGTCTTTGAGAGTGGGGAGTGGGGAGAGAAGTAGGATAAGGTTGAATGCTTGATATCAGTACAATGTTTTGATGACAAGTAAACTAAAAAATATGGTTGGAATAATGATCGTGGGAATCTCCTTCCTTGGGTCAAAATAGAGTGAAAAATATGACGCCAGCTACGTTTAGTCAAAAGACTGTGGGGAGAAGAATTTTACAAACTGTGGGGAGAAGAATTTTACAATCATGATAATTGCCCCTCTCCATTTCCATTCTTATTTTCGCTAACCAAATCAATTTCATATTACTGTCCCATTATACAGGACCGGGAATCTTCTGACCAGGTGACTAAGGTACCGTTATAGAATTTGGATCCAAGATAAACTTACTTACCCAACCCTAAAAAGCTCTGAAAACTCCCCAAAAACTTGTCTGATTCAACATTACTAAAAAGCTAGACGTTAATCAACAGTGGGACATCAAATGAACACAACCTCCACTTCCTTCCTCTCATAATTTGATCTATCTCCTACACCAACACGTTTACAGCTGCATGTTTGTCAATGTGGAGATCGGTTTTCTGGCTAGTAGTTAATTCCTGCCCTTTGCCTCTTGGTCATCTTTCGTTGAAACTTTTTTAATAAGGGCGGTCATAGTATAACCAATTTTAATATATTCAATATACATCATAACTGCTGGGAGTTTCTATCTGTCTTGATGTTCTATTCCAGTTCATTTGTAAGGTCCGATTCTTTTATCCATATATTTCTCTAATGTGCTATATGCCTTTGGCAGGGGGGTTTGGATCATCCTTGATTGCCATGGATGAGAGAACATACCAGCTTATTGGCCCAGATTACCCTGGAAATCGGGCTGAAGATGTTAAAAATCCAGGCTTGCTTTGGATGATAGGTTTCACTTTTGTTGTCAGTTTCCTTGGCCTTTTCAGTCTTGTTCCACTTCGGAAGGTAAATCTGTGTGGTCACTAGTTATGAGTATTACAAATCAAAAGGAAAAGAAAGCAAGATACGAAGTCAATTAACTTTGGGTGTTCTAGTTTTTTCTTATTTCAATGGAAAAGTTGATTCAAAGGTGAGAGAATGATGGATAAAAGTACGAGAATGACTGAAAAAATTAAGAATATATATCCTTGGGATTCAAAAGATAAATTTTATTTTTGGTTTAAAGTTTTTGCTTTTTTAATCTAGTTGTAATTGTTATTTATTGGAGTTTTGGAGTTTTTTCAACCATTGATATGAAGAATGCGCTTTTGTTCAGTATTTTAACATTGTATATGCAGTTTTTTTTGTCAAATATTGCTCTTCTGTGAGAAAGCTTATTAGATGATGATTAATGATTTTGTATGCCAAAGCCTAAAAGTAATGCTTCCTCCATTTGATATAATGCATGTAATTGATTGCTTTTAAGTTTTGAAAAGCTGTTATATTATTAGTTAATAGTTACTAATTTAATATGAGAAAGTGAGTGGAGAGTGGAGCTTGAGAGAGCAATAACTTTGGTTATAATTTTTTGCTCTATATATAGTTACGTAACTTGATAAGTATGGGAATCTATTGTAGATATAATTTCCTCTTAGCATTGCTACTGATATCCCTGATTGGCAATTTAGAGCCTGATCTCCGTGCATGAAATCTCAGGTTATGGTCATGGATTATAAGCTTACATACCCCAGTGGGACAGCAACGGCAATGTTAATTAACAGCTTCCACACTAAAACTGGAGCTGAACTAGCACGGTATGCATTAGAAATCATATTAATTTCTGACCAATGAGAAGCATCGCATACATTACAATTATGATTTTAATACTGCTTTGAGGACTATATGCTGGAAATGCACTTGTCACTGAACCTATCTAGTCATCATTGAGTTGCATTTTATGATGATTTAGTTTCATGCACAGTTTATGTCTGCAGCTATTTTATTTTCGTTTCGTAGTTCTAATTGATGTTATTGACCTTTGACTATAGGAACCAAGTCCAGCGATTGGGCAAGTACTTGAGCATAAGTTTCTGCTGGAGCTGCTTTAAGTGGTTCTTCAGTGGTATAGGAAATTCATGTGGATTTGACAACTTTCCAAGTTTTGGATTGTCACTATTTAAAAACACGTGAGCCCCCTACAACTTTGGCTTTCACTTGATTCCTATGTCTTAATTCACTCATCCTACTCCCTACCTAGTAGAAAATGCAACAGCTTTTCTCAGTGTTGCATTTGATATAAACTGTTCAATGAGTTGATGGCTAGTGTTAGAACTGCCTTTGATGCGGGAATGGTGAAGTTTGTTGCTTCTTATGGAAGAGAGTGAGAGAGAATACAAATTGAGTGAAAGGCATATGTGACATGATGCATACATTAGTATTTTGATGAGCCAGAAAACAACAAACATGCAACAGCTTAACACAATTTAGGGGAAATGCTGAGGTTTTAAGATTCATCGGATAAGTTGCTGAATCAGATTTACAAGGAGGACTCCCTGATTCAATATTAAACCCTATTCTCTTGTTACAATAGAACAATCACAGGAACTGAGACAAACATAATCACTCTCAGTACAGAACACTCACTGGCTTTCGAGAGGCCAGTCCTCTCCTCACAACACTCAAAATACAAAATGACATAATCAGCTTGGGGCCTCAAGCACCACTATAAACCCAAAAGACAGCCCTCACGGACTCCAAAAAACAAAACCCTCTCCTAAGCCAGGTCAAAAGCAACTCTAAAGCAGCCTTACTTTATTTTCTTGCTCCTTAATAGTTGGGGAGGTCAGGTCAATGTTCTGACCACTTGAGAGCATCTTTCCTTTTTCATGCTTCTTAAGTTTCCTTTTGTAGGTTTGGGCAGCAAAAGCAATCCTATCATATTTATATTCATATTTTGACTGTATAACACTGGTTATACGTTATACCATTTTCTTGGATGCACTTCATGCAAAAGCTTGCTATAAATCATATGCTCTTAGCTTGTTATAATTTAAAGGAATGCAATAACCAATAAACTCTTACTTAATAAACTCAACACAATCTTAAATTGCAACTGTTAATGGGCTTGTAGCTTAGTCGAGCTCCCTTGTAAGTAGGAGGTTGTGGGTTCAATCCCGCTTGTAACCTTAGGCCATTAGTGCCTGCCCCTCTAATTCCAAAAAAAAAAAAAAATTGCAACTCAGTGGAAAACATTTCCTGAAGTTATCTAAGGACAATGGGCAAGAGTAACTTGCTTTGACTTGAAATGCTTCTTACACTTGACAAATGAAAAAGCAATTTGGTGGAAGAACCTAAGGGGGGAGACTCACTAAGTTATATGTGATTCTGATAGAACTTACCTTTTGATCAACCTGTGTTTAATGTACAAAATTATTTACTGCCTGAAAATTATCGCAGGGTGTTCTGCCAGACTAGGGAAGCCACAAAATTTGATCTCAAATCCTGAGAAATGGCTATATTTATTTAAATCACGTGGCTTTGTTCTCTTGCAGGTTCTACTTTGACTTCAGTCCAACTTATGTTGGATGTGGTCTTATCTGTCCTCACATAGTTAATTGTTCAGTTCTTTTAGGAGCTATCATATCATGGGGTTTTCTATGGCCCTTCATATCCAAACATGCTGGGGATTGGTATCCAGCTAACCTTGAGGGCAATGATTTTAAAGGTCTTTATGGATACAAGGTATGCAAATGGTAAAGCAAAAGGGACGTAGTTTTCAACTTAAATGTCTTTATGGAAATTGTACTTATGAATCTGATTTATGTCCAATGACTAGTTGTTCAGTTGGTGTATTTCTTCCGAATCCATGGTAAAGCATTTTCTTCCTGATCATGTTTTGTGTAGGTGTTCATATCCATTTCTCTTATTCTAGGGGATGGTATTTACAATTTGATCAAAATCATATCGATAACTGTAAGGGAGATGTGTAGGGCAAGTTCCAAGCAGAACAACCTTCCTGTTATGTCAGTGGCTTTGGGTGAGTTCCATGAATCCCCCTTAAGCATTACTTTCTTTAACCAGGGAGGTCCTTTCTTCATTATGGCCCCATCCTAATTTGTATCAGTCTTGTCATTTCATCTGCAAGTCATGTAAATATTGTCACGCGAATGTTTAATGTATTTTTCCATTCTATGAATTTCAATAATAATAACCCAAGTCTTCTCCTTCATATGGCAGCTCGGCTGTGTGGATAAGTTGCATTGTATTTTCACTATCCGCTTCAGGAGTTGTAGTTTGCAAATTATTGGGCATTGAGTGGCCTAAATTGTTGACCTATGTCAATTATTTTAGTCATCATTGATTACAAATATAAGTGCAAATTAATTTGACTTGTAGAGTGATCTGTTATGGGATCCTCATCTGATATGAAGTCATCAACAGACAACGGCAGTGAACTATATTTCCCATTTGCTTGGCTTGCTGGACCTTACCGGCATTCTTCTAAATGTGACATTTGTAGGAGTTAATTTTCTTCTTGTGCATTATCAGATGGTGAATGTTCTGAACTGCAAGCAGAACAAAGAAGAAGGGACGAGATATTTTTAAAGGATAGGATACCCTTCTGGTTTGCAGCATCTGGATATGTGTGCCTTGCTGCAATATCTGTTGCAACAATACCGGTGATCTTTCCTCCTCTTAAATGGTACTTGGTTCTGAGCTCTTACATCCTGGCCCCTGCCCTAGCCTTTTGCAACTCTTATGGCACCGGGCTCACAGACTGGAGCTTGGCATCCACATATGGGAAGATTGGTCTTTTTGTCATGGCTTCATTGGTGGGGCCAAAGGGTGGGGTAATAGCAGGGGTAGCATCTTGTGCTGTGATGATGTCCATTGTCTCCACAGCAGCTGATCTCATGCAAGATTTCAAGACAGGTTACCTTACACTCTCTTCTGCAAAGTCTATGTTTGTGAGCCAGATAGTTGGAACAGCCTTGGGTTGCATCATTGCCCCTCTCACATTCTGGTTGTTCTGGAGCGCTTTTGATATTGGATCACCTGATGGCCCCTACAAAGCACCTTATGCTGTTATATATAGGGAAATGGCCATACTAGGTGTTCAGGGATTCTCTGAGCTTCCAAAGCACTGTTTGGCCTTGTGTTGTGTCTTCTTCGTGGCAGCTCTAGTTATTAATCTTGCAAGGGATCTGATTCCTAAGAAGATCTCACAACATATACCTATCCCAATGGCCATGGCAGTTCCCTTCTATATTGGTGCCTACTTTGCTGTTGACATGTTTGTCGGGACGGTGATATTATTTATATGGGAGCAGTTGAACAGGAAGGATGCAGAGGACTATGCTGGAGCAGTTGCTTCAGGTCTAATATGTGGTGATGGGATTTGGACAATTCCATCAGCTATACTCTCCATTTTGAGGATAAATCCACCCATCTGCATGTACTTTGGACCCTCTACAAGCAGCTGATTCAAGCAAGACAGCATGGCCCTGTGTTAGTTGCTTGCCCTGATAACTCCCTTGTTTATTTATTTATTTATTGGGACTGGGTTTTGTACATATATCTGTTGTAGGTTAAGAGCATGGCAATCTTCTACAATTCCATATGCATTCCGTTCTTGGTTTGAGATTTGACTGTTCTGGCCCAGCCATTAGCATCAATGTGAATATTTAGTGCCATTATTATCTTTTCCCATTTTGATCTTAATAATCATTATTGTTGTGTGTGTGAAATAGAGTCAAGTTCTTTACAATAATAAATAGGATTTACTCATATTTTGTGATCTATCAGTTAAGTAGAGTTTGCTACATTATCTAAGCAAGTTTTCATGTTTTTTGTGCTTATCCCTTTTTTTCACACAATAACTTGAGTTGCAAAAACTATTGTCCAATTTTTTGTTGCTATTGATTTTTACTTGCTCATCTCTCTCAATCTTGATCAAAGAGTTTTGTCAATGTCTCTATCTTGTTCTTTAATTATTGCCGGAACTGTGCAGTTTTCCTCCATGGCTCAAACACGTACTAATGCATGGAATTGTTTCTGACCCTACTTGTCTACTTGGGATACCTTTATCCTAAAGTATAAAAAGCCACGTTATTCACATTAACATTAACAAAACCCCTCCACGGGGTGTTCTCTTTTTCTTTTCTTTCTATTTTTCTTTGTAAACTGGAGTGTTCATCTTAACGTGAACAATTATTACTTTCCGTATGTTATATGGATATTTTGATATGTTTAGGCCCTGATTGTCGAATGAGTGAATTTTTTTTTAATATAAAGCTATGGTAAAATTGAGTAGAAGAGAAGAAAAGACTAAATCAAATGAGCGGCCAACGAAAGCGGTGAATTTTTTATCAATGGTGAAAGTAGCTAGCCTTGGTCGGAGAGGAGTCTTGCAAGTCTTTTGAGCATGATTACCGAAAATACTTCTTTGAAAAGATTTCATCATGACCCTGTATTTTAACGTCCCTAAGCACGATCACGAGTGACACAATTGGCCTTCAGTGTCCATCACTCCCAGTAATCAGCGTCTGAATCATGATAGTCAAAATGGCTTTTCATTTGGAGGTAGAACTAACCCCAAATTGATTCTTTCTTCAATCATAATACTTGATTTCCAGCTTATATACTAAAACCACTCGTCCAGAGCAGCTAGAATGAACTACTGTTCTGAAGGTTTCTTACTGCTATGATTTTCATATTCTTTCTTTTCTTCCATGACTCTACAATATTGTTTGTTCATACCAGAAATGTGTAATTTCTATTTATAATCTTCGTTCTGGAGAAATAGTGGGCATTTTTCGCGTGGGTGAAAGAGGCTTTTGAGTTTTCTCCCGAAATGAAACCAGAGATGCAAGAAAAAGAGAACAACAGAGCAAGTGGATTGAAGTTGAGAGCCAAAGCTCTCATTCGGCAAAACAGAGACATTTTTGTCCTTTTGATTTATTAGCGAATCTGGATATTCAATTTTGTTGCAATGTTAGATTCTCCTTACCACTGGAAATTCCAATGCACCCCTTCAAAGTAACAGCTCAGACAATTTCCCAATCAGCCACATGGCTCAGATCATGACGTCTCGGATTGAAAGCCCACTTACCTCCAACGCAATCTTTTTCAACCAAAACTTGACAGATTGATCAACCTGAACCAATTATTTTTAGTGGGTTATCTCAAATTATGGCGATCAATTTGTAAAATGATACGATGTATACCTGCTTTCTTGAAGGTGTTATTTTGAGTCATATCTTCGTTGAAGTTCAACCCTCTTGTTTTGAACCTTTCACAAATGATTTGACAGCTAAAATCTCGTGAAAAAAACTTAAACCGCCATATGAACAAAAGAAAGTTGACAATTTGGAGGCGCAAATTTGGCCCCAAAAAAAAATTTGGAGGCGAAAAGATTACTGAGAAGGGATCAAAGATGGAGATGGATTGGGACATAAGGGTAACAGAGATACATCCTATCAAAAGGAGCCATTCACTTGAAAGATTCCGGCTTTAATGTGATGGAATGGCTTGTTCCCAAAGTAACATACAGTTCATTCAAATTCTGCATAATGCTAACCATTCTTGCCATTAAAAAAAGGAAAAAAAGAAAAAAACCCACAGAGAAAAGGGTCGAAATCTTTTAGATATAATTGGTAATTAAATAATACCATAGGCTTGGGTCTAAATTTACCCTCACAACGTGGTGCCCCATATGATTAATTAGTTTCCACTTCTGAGACTGAACAGCCATTACCCTCCTTTGAAGCTCAAGTAACAAAACAGAGAAAAGGCTCAGTTTGTTAACCCTATTAACATGAAAACAGAAGCGTACGATCAATATTGCAAATGGAAAACGATAGCTTTTAACAGGATATTCACCAAAAATATATAAATGATGTGTGTTTTTTCAGAATAGAGGCATTCAGGTGTGAATTCTGCAGTCTGTTCACAAACTAACTATTTACATGATTCATAAGTCGACACTGTGCCTGACAATTCTGACCAAACATCAAATATTAACTTGTTTGTCCATTTCATTGAAGTATATGTTCCCTGTATCAGATGTTCATCAATTCCCTTATGACATTTGATAAATGACAATGGTCGTTAATATACCGAAATGAATGATAATTATCAGATCAAAACTATTCACAACGGTAACCCAAAACCCAGAAATTCTTCTCCATCCTCATTTGGTTGCTTTTTTTTTTTTAATAACCTTTGTCAACAAAGTATGGTAAAGCATATATGGATTACTTTCAAATGTTAATGCTTCTTTCCATGATTTTGATAGCTTTTTAAATCGAAGTGTTCTTTTTCTTTTTCATGTTAGAGTATGTTGGAAAGAAAAAGTCAGAATTCTTGCAACATTAGTTTAAGGCCCCCAAAAAAGAAAAATACCAACACATCCGAATTCAAGCTCAGAAATTTTTACCTTCCAGCGCCTGAGGCAACGAAAAAATTCAGCAGAATTGCAGTTAATTAGCAAACTTTTGCCATTAAAAAAAAAAAAAACAGTTTAAACTCTTGAAAAAGACAGGAGATAGGAGGCATAACTAAAGTGATTAAGACGAACTTAGCATGAAGCTTGTCTCTTATGGAAGCGAGTCTTTTACAAATCAAAGGTAAAGGAAAAACGGAAAACAAAAGAAAAGAAAGAAAACCCAACGAGAAAAAAGAAGATCGATCTTTTGCCACTGAAGCTTTGTATTCATGTGAAATGAGGCATGATATTTCAACAGCTAGCTTTGATGGAGGGACCTACCTTGTCTGCATGGTGGGAGGCACATGTGACTCTCAATGCAATCACCTACATTCACACAGTGTCACCTCCCATTATTATCATCCTCCCAAAGCATGAATTGAATTGGTCTTGAACTTGATCTCTTCACTGTATTGAATCACCCCAAGTTTTTTTTAAAAACAGAAAAAACAGAGAGAAAAAGGTGAGAGTTTATCGAGGATTAGCCTTGTGGAGGGGCAGAACAAAGGTGTAAAAGTGATAAAAAAATTATATATCTTAACCAAAAACTTTAAAATTTAAATTTACAGATTTTTTTATTATTAATTATTAAACTTAACTTTATTTGATATAGTATTTAAATTAAATAGACTCACACTTTAACAATCTAACATCACTTCTTTATACTCTAGTCTTTTAACACTGCCCAAGAAAGAAGCTTCTCTGTGTTTCTACCTATGATTATGAGGCTGATACACAATAATGAGAAAAGAGGTGTGCAATGGAAGAAAATGGATGTGTCGACCGTGATGAGATTCCTACATCATGAGTGATCATTTTGACTGGGTTGGTGTTAACTCTCTTCCTCACAAGTCTCACTTGACGAATGCACTAGATTTTTCTCTTTTTCTTTCTTCTTTTTTTCTTTTTTTTGTCCCCTTACAGAACAGTGAAAGGGGCAAAACCAATCATGTCGACCAGTAAACTTTTGAAATTTGGTGATTAAAGCAACTTTGGACCAATTAGCCAACTAACCCGTGTCCTTAATTATCAATGCTTTCATATTGCAAGTGATAATCAAGTTCTTGATAATAGCCTGCCAAAAACTTATACGTTAAGATTGGATCAACACAATCAAGTTCAGCTTCGTCTTATCTTATCCCATCTCATCTCTGATTTCTTTTATTCGTTATTTTACTAGTGTATGAGATGAGCTTTTGTTTTTTTTTTTAAATTTTAAGAACGAACTATTTTATATTATTAATTAACCCAACTTTGAGTCGTACCAAGCCTCAAATGTGAGGGAATGACTTCCTGATCATTTCAGGGATCTAGATCATCTAAATTTTAATTTGTATGGTCTAAATTTAAAGTATTATTTTATATTATATTTATTAAAATAAAAATTATAAAATAAATTTAATAAATTTTTTATTTTAATCTAATCTATATTTAATTTAGAGGGCCCAATTCAATATTAAAATTTTTATAATTGAATATCTAGACTATTTAGACTGTGCAGAGTATATTTGATAATCAATATATATTAATTATAAAAATTTTAATATCAAATTGAATCATCTAAATTAAATCCAGATCAGATTAAAAATAAAAAATTTATTAAAATTACTTTATAATTTTTACAAATTTTTTTAATAAATAGAATATAAAAATATATCATGATATTTTAAATCTGAATTATATAAATTAAAATTTAAATAGTTTAGATCTCATATCAAATATACTAAAATATTTATATAAGAACTACATTTTTTGAAGTGTAAAATTAGTGACTCCAATTTTTGTGAGACATAAATGAAACCAAATGATGAGTCAGAACATTCAAGGAAGTTTCGTAAATGTTGTCGTTCCCTGTAACCAATCAAAAGTAATATGAGTGGGAAATGACTGGTGGGCACTTTGGACACTTGGCATAAATCTATGCATGATGTACGCCTCAAATACAGTTTGTCCACGTCCCATATGCCATGTCAAGTCGTCAACAAATCCCACTCCGGAGAAACAGTTTCTTAACAATTTAAGATAAACACCATAATTATATCACTGTTGTATGTGTGAATGTTCACCCTCATTGCTCTCCGCGTGTTCTTTTTATTTATAATTTGAGAATTTAAGGTATAAATTTTAAAAATACTATAAACATGACAGATAATTTTTAAAATCTTATGCGTCTTAATATATATATATATATATATATTATTCTATAATTATATTGGTAAAGACA